TTCTGTACGTTTATGTTTTCTAAGCCAAAAGCGGCTCCTTCTATTTATTTACATATTCGGCTCACTTTTTTCATGCACCATGAATAAAGTATGATTATAAATGTTTGTTGCTCCTGTTAAAAATTAATTTGTAAACCCAAAAATAAGGTTTTCTGGGGAAAATGCCTGAATACCAATCGTTTTTCTCCGAATCATTCTTTCTTTCCGCTTGGCCTTTTTCGTTTCGAGTTGGACATCGCTGAAGAAAAGGCTTATCTAATCTGATCATTTTATATCGCCATTCTAATGGATTTTATCTATCCGTAACAAGTTGAATTCAAAAGTTAAATTCTGTTGTTCGAACTCCAAATTCGTTGTTGACGTAATGGATTGACTCAATCTTGTTTAGATTCTCTAAATCGATCAGATTTTTATGCTTCCTCAAATTCGGACGAAGATTATGACATCCTTTGCGCTAGTCTCCTAAATTCCATGAAACTAGCGTGTGGTCATTCTCCTTTAATGACCCCGCCGCACCTTTTGAGAGCTAGAAATGGACTAGTCGATATCCTTTCGTCGCTCCTATTATTGAAAATGCGTCTCGAACCCTGCGTGATTCCGGCTGAAACGATTGCTTTTCTCACAAATTACCCAGGGATACAACAAATTCATGGAGACGATCGTTTACCACTTTTTGAAGAGCTCAAGAAATTGTGTGGTCCTCCGTTCTTTGACACTTGCCTTCATTGGTCCGAGGGTGAAATGATTTCCTTTCTCATGGAATACTCAGGAATGAAAAAATGTCGATGGAGAAAATCCTGAGTTTTTGTTCGAATTGTCCAAGAAATTGTGGAAAGATGCACTTTTTGACAAAGAGATTTGGTGTTTCCGACGAAGGGATGGACTCGAGGAGAGATTGCGTTTACATCCTTTATTCTCGTCTTGAGCTCAGGCTTTCCCATTTTTTCGCCTTCTACATGCCACCCCAATGAAATGATCGCTTTTTTAAAAAGCTTTATTAGCTTCACGATATTTAATAATTTTATTTACCAAGTTCAACGATGTGATTGATTTTTAATCTTTTTCTAATGGAATTTGATGATTTTACTTATTGACTTATTTTACTTCAATGTCATTTTTACTTATTTTTATGTTGTGCTCGTGTTCTATGCTGAGTTTTAAAGAATGCCCATCAATAAATGATTAAAAGTATGTTTTAATGGGAATGAGTAAAGTTGTATGCTTTTAAAAGTATCTTTGATCGAGATAGTTATTGAAGGATAGTTATGGATGGATAGTTATTGCTCATACAGAAATGAACGGTATGGAAAGCAGTAGCTTTTTTTTATTTCAGATAATCCTTTGCAATACCGTTGACCTTCAAAGTACCCGTTATTGTTGTAGAATTGATCGTTTGTTGTCACTTTTAATTGTTTTCTTGTTTCATTGATTATTCTAGCATTTTGTTACAAATAAAGTTTGGAATTTTATTGAGAAAGATGGAATTTTGTCGTGAATTCGCGGGAATTCTATACTTTTAGCTAGTTAAGAGTGGTTAAATGTGAAATTCTTGGAAACGTTTATCGATATCGAGAAATTTTTCTCATTAGGAATGATGAGTTTCGTGAAAGCGCTGGTTTTGAAATTGTTTTATTATCAAAATTTCACGAAAAGTCTAATCTTTTATATTTCAGGTATAAATGGCAGATTGTCAATTGGCGATGGCGATGACAAATTGAAAAGGGAAATGAGGATCGAAATGGAGAAGAAAATGGAACGATTGAGGGATCAACTCAACCATTTCCGATGAAGAAGTTGAATCAAGATAAGAGTGGTGCCGGTGAAGATGCGTTTCTTTTGCTCTCGACGCTGAATCTCAAGACGTTCCCAATGGAGAAATTGTGTTACGATCTGAAGTTGGAGTTCCAGAACTCCAACTGAAAGGAGGTTCCAGAAAAAAAAGGACACAAAGGAATTGTTTTGTTTTTTTGTGGAATAGTTTTGGGTAATTATACACCAAGAAATTTCCGGAGTCACCACGATTTTACTTGGATTTCGATCCCCACCATCCTTTGATCGAATGCATCACTTCGTGTTGCGGATTGAAGCTTTGGTCTTCTCATGATTCGTCAATCATCGAAGTCAAGCATGAAGCATTCCTGAAACAATTGGAGACGGTGATCAATTGAATGTCAAATTCTTCCAGAGAACGATGTCGAGAAATCCTTTTCATATTTCCGCGCAGACAACTCTGGGTTTTGAATTCGATTCATTCGTAGAAGATCAATCGCTGAACGATCAACTTGAAAGTTGGAAATCATCGAAGAACAACAACAACAACGAAGAATGTGAGAAAATCAAACAAGAATCTTTCGGAGTATCTCTTCTATGCTTGATACAATGCCTTTGGCAAAGACACGTATCAAAGTTATTAAGATGAATGCGTATGAAATCTTGAAGCTGGTCTTTTACTGGATTGTGGAGCATGGCATCTAAACAAGAATTTGGAATTCGGTTTTTACACTTGGGTGATTGGTTAAATGGGTTCCTTGCGGAAAAAGATGCTTTCGACCCGTACTTTTTTGCTTTCGAGATTCGACGTGAGCGAAATGATCGATTTGATGCTTAATGCTATAATTTTTTGATTGTCTAGATTTATAAATGTTGACCGATTAGAATGTTGTTGCTTTTTGTTATGTTTTGCTAGCTTTTCTCGTTATTGTTGTTACTCGGAATAAATTTATAAAACATTGTTCGATGATGAAGTTACTGTTTGAAGCAGTTGTCGTTTTCTTTGATGGATTGACTTATTTGTGACTTATTCCAGTTTTATTTGTATCTCAATTTCACTATTTCCTAACATTTCCGTTATCCGTAAAGCACCTCTTTATGTCCAAACAAAGTCTAATCTTTTATTTATAGGTGGAAGAATGGCGTCAATCGAAATGAAGAATTTGAGATTATTTCCAATCGAGAAGTTGTGCTTCGATTTGAAATTGGAAGCGTTGGAACAAATGGAACCAAAGGATGTGTATGAGTTGGCCAAGGTGAATCACGGATTCCAAGGGATGCTCGTGAGGCGTCCGTCGATCGTTTTTGGAGAGCACGTTTATCGTATTCAATTACGCTATGGGACGATTTGGATCCAGAAGTTTTCCAATTCATGTAAAATGGGGCTCATGGTCGTCTCTTTTCTCACTTTTCTTTTATTAAGAAGATCCGATGGTGCGACCTATTGTGGTTTGAGACGTATCATCAATTCAACGAGATACATGCACTTCTGAAGAATTTGAAGTCGGTGAATCGATTGGGGCTGCGATGGAAATCAAAAGAAGCATTGAAGGGATTCTTCTCAAATTTCCACGCATCGATCAAGAAAGAAGCATCACTGGCTATCGACTTCATTGCTTTCAATGATCAAGTGATCAAAGATAGGATCGAGAATTTTATGCTGGGACCTCAACTCAAGGATTGCGAGACGATTTGACTTGGTTCGACTACCGATTCAGTTCTCAGTTCTTTGAAGATTCAGTTCGCTTTTGCTACAACGCCTTGTCGAAGGCTGAAATCAAAAGCGTTTTTATGGAGACTTATTCATCGCGTTGCATGGATTTGATTATTCAACAGATCATCACCAATGGAATCCCGAGCAAGAACCCTGAGGCTGCTTTTTTCCTTGGTTATAACTTGGACTTCACGTTAGATCTCTCACAATATCCAGGAATGCGACGAATCGATGGAGAGAATCGTCTTCGACTTCTCAAACAGGCGAACTATCTTGAAAGGAATTTTGGACGGTCTCGTTCTGGTGGTTCTGGTTTCTTCAGGAAAGAAAGCTTAATTTTCTGCCGACGTTTTGATTCAACCAAGGACTGCATCTGCGCGTACGACGATACGGGATACTTCTTGGCCTTCTACGTCCCCATCGATTAAAATTATTAAAATCACTCTTTGATGATTCATTGTCTATTTTTGTCGCTTTCTATCATTGTTTCCAGTTTTTAAATTGACAGATTATTGGTCTTTTATCTGCTATATTTTGTTGCTTTTCCATTATTCAAAATAAAGTTTTAAAATCTTTTGTGAAATGAAAAGAAAACAGTTTGATATTATCTGTACTTTTTGGGAGTCTAAAGGACTGTGAAAGTGTCAGTGCGTTAGAAGTTGTCAAATTTTTAAGGGAATCTCTGGTAATCTTTTTCTTAACCTTTTGCTCTGGGAAGGCTCTAATTTGCGAATTTCTCCATTTCAAAATCTTCCAAATCTATATTTTACGACAAAAAAAGCATCGAAAATGAAATTTTTTAAAATTCGAGAAAAATTTGTTAGGGGCCAGACCGAAAACGAGGGAAATCTGACAAAACCTCACTTTTCAAGAAATTTTGTGAAAATTTCATTTCTTGAAAGCTTTCGATCTTTGAATGTTTGACTGAGCAAAACTACGATGGATTTTCAGGGTTTTGCTGGTTTACTAGTTTTTGAGAACCCTGAAACCCTGAAATATTATCATAGACATTAAGGAGACCAAAACAAATTATTAGAAATAAAAGGTAAAAGGATTTCTGATGAAATAAATAAATTAAGAAGTCTCATTACGGGTATTTTGGTGATTTTGAGTCTTCGACCATCATATCACCCCTCTAGAGAAAAACTTTCGAAAAACCAACTTTATGTCAATGTGTAACCCCTGAGGCAAAACCAATTTTGAAACCACGATATGCCATCAAAACTCAGCGCAAAAAAGTTTCAGGTACGCCCAGTCAGCCACTTTTTTATGGACCACCTTAGGGACACTCGAAAATTATATGGAATTCAAAACTAGGCGCTTCCTGCACAGAAAAGTGAAAATATTCAGTTAATTAAATTAATAGGATTAAGCTGGCTTGATGGGGTATAAAACCATGTTTTGTGCAAAAGTTTTCACAATATTTTTGGAGCTGCTCTTGAGTTTATTTATGTTTTTATTAAATTGCTGATTTTGCTTCTCGATTTTTGAATTCTTTCTATTATCAACGCATACAATGTGCATTTTTAGGGCCATCACATGTTCGTTGATGTCCGGTCGCTATCTTCCCTCATCAATGACCGCTTGTGGTTTTGCTTGTCATCTTCGCGCTTCTCTTCATCGATTCTACAAGTGGGTTACTCGGGCATTAGCACGTAAGGGATTAAGCCTAACAAGGAAGAAGTATGGGTAGATCTGCGTTGCTTTGTTGATGTTAGAAGTAGGCTTATGGTTGCCAGAAGTGGAGTTGAACCGATTTTGCGCTCTTAGAAGTGGCAAAACCACTTTAGCACTGAAAATATTGACCCTTTTAAACAGTATCAGCACTATTTAAAATTATTCTCATGTTTAGCCACGCTACCGCGAATGCACTTCACGATGCCGAAAAGTACACAATGGTCCATAACGATTGAGCGAGCCCGGTTGAAGCAGGCAGCCATGTTGTTGGTGAGTTTTTTTGACACGCATAACTAATCATCTCATTTAGATGCAAATACGATTGCATGTAGGCCACTAATGCGACCATTCGAATCACTCAACCTGGCAACTTGCGAGCGAAATTTCACAGAGAATGGCCGCTCGCCGCGACCCAACTCGAGGCCATCGTCATTCAGGGGCGAACAAGTGCTTCTTATTTTTACTTTTTGTTGCAGGAACCAACATCGGCTATCTTCTCTTTTCTCAACTTTTCTCAACTATTTTGTGGGTACTTTTGAGAGATTTGAGAGCAATTGAAAAAGCTCCATTGAGCTTGGGCTACACTGTACAACTTCTTGTTTAGTATCTGGTTTCGCCGACATCTGTGGGGCCGTCCTCTACACATTACCCGCGTTGACCACGAAAAAAACATTTTAAAGTTATCTTTTAATTAAAAAACATGTACTCGATTCACTTGCTTTGTTTTGAAAAAACTGCATGTGCCTGTATTTCCTAGGCTTTGGCTCCGCACCGCTTTGGCTCCGCACAGCACATAAGTTTCTAATTGGAAACATCGTGGTCAGAGCCATCAATTGCCCTAGAAAAACTACTATTGAGCAAATTTCAAGTGCTCCCCCAACTGCCTTAGTACCTTTTCGTTGTGTTTTGCGAGCTTTTCTCGTTATCGTTGTTACTTGGAATAAATTTATAAAATATTGTTCGATGATGAAGTTACTGTTTGAAGCAGTTGTCGATTTCTTGTTTGGTTGACTTATTTGTGACTTATTCTAGCTTTATTTGTACCTCATTTTCACTATTTCCGAACATTTCCGGTATCCGTAAAGCACCTCTTTATGTCAAAACAAAATCTAATGTTTTTATTTGCAGGTGAGAGTCATGCGGTTCGAAATGAAGAATTTGACGTCATTTCCAATGGAGAAGTTGTGCTTCGATTTGAAATTGGAAGCGTTGGAACAAATGGAACCAAAGGATGTGTATGAGTTGGCCAAGGTGAATCACGGATTCCAAGGGATGCTCGTGAGGCGTCCGTCGATCGTTTTTGGAGAGCACGTTTATCGTATTCAATTATGCTATGGGACGATTTGGACCTCAATTATTTGTACCTCATTTTCACTATTTCCGAACATCGATCAAGAAAGAAGCGCATATCTACGGCACAGCTTTCAGTGATCAAGTGAACAAGGACAGGATCGAGAATTTTATGGTGGGACCTCAACTCAAGGGATTGCGAGAAGATTTGGTTTGACTGTGTTTCTGAAGATTCAGTTCGCATTTTCTACAACGCCTTGTTGAAGGCTGAAATCAAAAAACGTTGCAATACAGTCTTATACACCGCGCTGCACTGATTTTATTATTCAACAGATCACCACCAATGGAATCCCGAGCAAGCACCTTGAGGCTGCTATCTACATTACTTCTGAATTTGGTCTCGAGCGGGATCTGTCACAATATCCAGGGATGCGACGAATCGATGGAGAGAATCGTCTTCGACTTCTCAAACAGACGAACTACCTTGCAAGGAATTTTGAATGGTGTCGTTCTGATGGTTCTGATGTCATCATAAAAGAAAGCTCAATTTTCCGTCGACGTTTTGATTCAGGAAAGGACTGCATCTACGGGTACGACTACGAAAACGACGACGGAGGTTTTCATCATTTCTTGGCCTTCTACGTCTCCATCGATTAGAATTATTAAAATCACTCTTTAATGATTCATCGTATATTTTTGTGACTTTCTATCATTGTTTCCGTTTTTAAATTGATAGTTTATTGGTCTTTTATCTGCTATATTTTGCGGCTTTTCATTTATCCAAAATAAAGTTTTAAAATCTTTTGTGAGATGAAAAGGAAGCGATTTGATATTCTAATTGTCTAGTTGTCTAAGAAGTCTAATTGGCTGTGAGAGGGTCATTGGTAATGATTCATTGGTAATGTCTGATTGGCTGTGAGAGCGTTCCGAAGTGGTCGAATTTTCTGATAATTTCTGGTAAATTATTTTTCTACAGGGTGTCCCAAAATTATGGTTACGAAATAACGTAAAAGTTTTCGACTTTATTTACATAGCAAAAATCAGCTGATAAGGAAAAATTTATTCTAAACAATTTAATTAACAATAAAAACAACATTTAAATCTCAAAATGGCCTCCTTTAGCAGCTATGCATTTCCTTAGTCGTTTTGGAAAGTCATTAATGGCCTTTTCAATGGTAGACAAAGGAATCTCGTTCCAAGCTTTGATCAAATCCTTTTTCAATGAGTCAATTGTTGTGTGAGCTTTTGCACAAGCTTTGCTTTCAAGAATGGACCAGATAGAATGGTCTAAGAAGTTTAGGTCAGGGCTGTTTGAAGGCCATTCGCCCGGACGTTGTTGGCTGATATCCACTGTGATCCAGTCAGGAAAGTTGTTTGAGATCCATTCTTGTGTAACAGCTGCTTTGTGAGATGGAGCTCCATTCTGTTGATAAGTCCAGCTATTCGCGCCAAAATGAGCTTGAGTCCAGGGTAAAACATTATTTTTGAGCATATTGATATAAGCGATTTTATCGATTTTGACTCCTGGTGGAATGAAGATTAAAGGAGTTTTTCCGCTGTGAGTTACTCCGGCTCATATCATAACTTGTGGCGGCTTTGTTGTCTTGACACAATTCTATCATCAAGAGGTAGTGGATCCTTTGACCAAACACGATCGTTTTAATGGTTATGGGCTTGCTCCATATCAAACCACTTCTCGTCGTGAAGAGAATTCCTTGATGGCGATTTGAGCCAAAGCGTCTCAGAAGCTGCTTGCACTGGAAAATCGTTTTGCTTTCATAACGTCCGTCAATAAATGGCCTTTGACACCTTTTCTGGCTTTCATGCCGGCTGTTTTGAGCATACGATGAACACAACTCTTGCCGATTCCGACAGATTGCGCGAGTTTTCGAACGGAGTTCTTGGACGAATTCGGACTTCTTTTGAGCCGTTTAAAAACTTTTCGTCGTTTTGCAGAAACATTGGCAGTCTTCTTTCGACCGCGTCCCGAGCGATCTTCATTTGATCCCGTTTCCTTGTATCGCTTCACTGCGCGGGACACATTCATTTTCCCCTCCTGCAAGATTCGCGAAATTTCAGCGTTGGTTTTTCCCCGTTGGTGGAGGGAAATTATAGCTGGTCGATTTCATACCTGAAAATAGATAAATTAGTACAATGAAACCAAAAAAGTAAGAAAAAAACCAGTAAAATAAAAAAAAAGGCAAATAGAGTGCGCGTAACCATAATTTTGGGACACCCTGTATTAGTCTACGATCAAAAAAAGGCAATCATGATCATACAGCGGTTGTTAGACAAAATAAAATAGTCCTAAGAAGCCTAAAGCGAAAAACTTGCACTTTTCGGACAAGAAAGATACTTTTAAAGATTGATTTATTTACATTAAAACATGCTTTTAATGATTTATTGATGGGCATTCTTTAATTTCAGTATAAGACACACAAAAACAAGTAAAATGACATTGAAAACAGTAATCATCAGACTATATCAGACTAGTAAAAAGATTAAAATGAATCACATCGTTGAACTTGGTAATAACATTACTAAACATCGTGAAGCTAATAAAGCTTTTAAAAAGCGATCATTTCATTGGGGTGGCGTGTGAAGGTGAAAAATAGTAATCATCGTCCTCATCATCAATATGAAATAAGTTAAGTTAAAAAGCGTTGCGTTGATTACTTGGCTATAGGGAAGGCAACAAAACACCCACAGGGGACTTTAGAAAGCTTCTCTAAAAGCAAAAGCATTTCGATCAAAAGCCAAAAACAAACTCACCAACTTCCGCGATTCGGCGCTTCGACTGATATGGCCGAGGAGTGGCGGGCGATAGTGTGGCGGAGTGGCCGATGTGTCGGTGTCGTGGCTGAGCTTGCGTTGTACTCGAAATTCAGGGGTGTCGGCAGCACCATCTCTGAAAACAAAACCCTATATACAGGTTGATAAGTGGTTCTCTTTAGATAGCAGAGAGTAATAAGTTTATCTTTCTTTCTTAGCTTTGCCTTTTGTCTACTATATCTGTTGCTTCATTTTCCTGGAAATCATTTTGTCATCTAATTATCTGATCTAATTATCTCGATCTAATTATCTGATCTAATTAGCTCACCTAATTAGCTTTACCATTATTTGGATGTAGGGTGAATAAAGAGTTTAAAATTTCGTGTAAAGATTTTTTAACGGATGGCTGATTATTGACGGGAGATATCTAAACCAATAAATTTGGTGCAGCGATGTTTTCTGTATTCGGAATCACGTATGATTATGAAAAAGTCGGAGTGTTTATAGATTGAATTTATAGGTTGAAGTGTTTATAAGTGTTTATAGATTAGTGTTTTTTAACATGAATGCAAGTTCTAATTTTGCTTATTTTCTGGTAAAAGAATGCTCAATTGACGGTCAATCAAGGAGGAAATCGTTGATGAAAGTGGAGATGGTGGCGAAGAAAGTGCATCGAACACGGAATACAAGCTACCTATTCTTCCTCAAAAATCCCGGCTTTTCACGCGTTTTCTGAAATGGACGGCCCAACAGTGCACTCTGAAATATCATCATAGACATTAAGGAGATCAAAACAAATTATTAGAAATAAAAAGTAGCCACACCACCGATTTCTGGTGAAATAAATAAATTAAGAAGTCCCATTACAGGTATTTTGGTGATTTTGAGTCTTCGACCATCACATGACCCTCTACATGAAATTTTCAAAAAACTAACTTTGTGTCAATGTGTAACCACTGAAGCAAAACCAATTCTGAAACCACAATATGCCATCAAAATATCAAAAAGTTTCAGGTACGCCAAGTGAGCCACTTTTTTTATGGACCATCCTGCATATGCAATGTCTCAATTTCTGGAAGAAAAGTGAAAATATTCAGTTAATGAAATGAATAGCATTAACCTGCCTTAAGAAGGTATAAATAAATGTTTTATACAAAAGTTTTCACAATATTTTTGGAGCTGCTCTTGGGTGGTTGTTTTTATTAAGTTACTATTTATGCTTCTCCATTTTTTCCATTATCAACGCATTCAGTGTCCATTTTTAGGGCCATCACATGTTCGTTGATGTCGGGCCTCTCTCTTCCCTCGTCAATCACCGCTTGTCGTTTTGCTTGTCATCTTCGCGCTTCTCTTCATCGATTCTACAAGTGGGTTACTCGGGCATTAGCACGTAAGGGATTAAGCCTAACAAGGAAGAAGTATGGGTAGATCTGCGTTGCTTTGTTGATGTTAGAAGTAGGCTTATGGTTGCCAGAAGTGGAGTTGAGCCGATTTGGCGCTCTTAGAAGTAGCAAAACCATTTCAGCACTGAAAATGTTGACTCTTTTAAGCAGTATCAGCACTATTTAAATTATTCTCATGTTTAGCCACACTACCGCGAATGCACATCACGATGCCGAAAAGAACAGCGATGCCCACAACAATTGAACCAACGTTTTGGGCAGGCAGCCATGTTTTCGGTGAGTTTTTTTTCTTTGATACGCATAACTAATCAACTCATTTAGATTTAGAAATTTAGCACGTGGGCGACTATTCGAATCGCCCAACCTGAAGCCGGCGAAATCTCACAGAGAATGGCCACTCGCCGCCACCCAACTCGGAACAATCGTCATTCGGGTGCGAACAAATGTTTCGTATTTTACTTTGTTGCAGGAACGAACATCGGCTATCTTCTCTTTTCCTCGACTTCGTCACGAGGTATCTCTTTGGCAACAACTTGGCTGGCGGTGAAATATTCAAAAGAAACAGATCTGGTGGGGATACAATGTCGTAAGAATGATCGCTTGGTTGGCGTTTAAAGTTTCAATCAAAATATTTTGCCTTTAGGTTCTCGTCGACGGTTTTTCATGGTGTCGATTGTTGGGTGACCGAATGGATCGATTATTTTGTGGGTACTTTTGAGAGATTCTTGAAGGCAATTGAATATGATCAGTTAGCTTGGGCTACACTGTACAACTTTTTGTTTAGTATGTGATTTCGCCGACATCTGTGTGTCATCAAGTGGATGTCCTCTACACATTACCGTTGACCACGAAAAAAACGTTTTTAGGTTAAGTTTTCGATTAAAAGCATGTACGCGATTAACCTTCTTTGTTTGGAAAAAAACAAAGAAAGTAAACTGCATGTCCCTATATCTCCTAGGCTTTGGCTCCGCACCGCAGAGGCACATAAGTTTCTAATTGAAAGCATGACTTAAAAATGTCTTGTTCGTGATCAGAGCCATCAGTTACCCTAGAAAAACTACATTTGAGAAAATTTCAAGTGCTCCCCAACTGCCTTAGTACCTTTCGTTATATTTTGCTAGCTTTTCTCGTTATCGTTGTTACGTTGAATAAATGTATAAAATATTGTTCGATGATGAAGTTACTGTTTGAAGCAGTTGTCGTTTTCTTGATTGGTTGACTTATTTGTGACTCTATTCCAGCGTTATTTGTATCTCAATTTCACTATTCGCTAACATTTCCGTTATCCGTAAAGCGCCTCTTATGTCAAAACAAAGTCTAGTCTTTTTATTTATAGGTGGAAGAATGGCGTCAATCGAAATGAAGAATTTGAGGTTATTTCCAATCGAGAAGTTGTGTTTCGATTTGAAGTTAGAAGCGTTGGAACAGATGGAACCAAGGGATGTGTGAGTTGGCCAAGGTGAATCAAGGATTCCGAGGGATGCTCGTGAGGGATCCGTCAATCGTTTTTGGAGAGCACGTTGATTGTATTCGAATCGAAAATGAGAGGATTCGGATCAACAAATTTCGAATTCATATGCAATGGAGCTCAATGTCGATCATCCCTTTCACTTTTCTTTCGTTGGGAAGATCCGATCGTGCCATGACTTGTCGTGCTATGATTCTCATCAATTCTACGGAAATATACACTTCTGAAGAATTTGAAGTTGGTGAATCGATTGGGGCTCTGATGGAAATCAAAAGAAGCACTGAAGGGATTCTTCGCAAATTTCCACGCATCGATCAAGAAAAAGCATCACTGGATATCGGCTACAGTGCTCTCAATGATCAAATGATGAAAGATTGGATCGAGAAATTTCTGGTGGGACCTCAACTCAAGGATTGCGAGAAGATTTCGTTTCACTGTCGTACTGAAGATTCATTTCGCTTTTGCTACAACTACGCTTTTGCTTTTGCCGTGTCGAAGTCTCAAATCAAAAACGTTTATATGCTTATTCATTCAGGGGATTGCTTTCGTTTGATGATTCAACTGATCAGCACCAATGGAATCCCGAGCAAGAACCCTGAAGCTGCTATTTGCCTTCGGGCATATAGCTTTGCCTCCAGGATAGATCTCTCACAATATCCAGGAATGCGAGGAATCGACGGAGAGAATCGTCTTCGACTTCTCAAACAGGCGAACGATCTTGTGAGGAATTCTGGACATTATCTCGGTGATGGTGCCTTCATGGAAGAAAGCTCAGTTTTCCGTCGACATTTTGATTCAACCAAGGACTGCATCTACGTGTACGACGAAACAAAACCTAATAGAGTCTTGGCCTTCTACGTCCCCATCGATTAAAGTGATTAAAATCACTCTTTCATGATTCATTGTATCTTTTAGTCGCTTTTATCATTGTTTCCATTCTTTCAATTGACAGATTATTGGTCTTTTATCTGCTATATTTTGCTGCTTTTCATTTATCCAAAATAAAGTTTTAAAATCTTTTGTGAGATTGAAAAGAAAAATGGTTTCATATTTTCTGTACTTTTTAAAAGTCTAATTTGACGAAAATTCACTTTTCGAGAAATTTTGTAAAAATTTCATTTTTTGGAAGCTTTCGAGGTGCGTGAGCTGTGGCTGTCGGGCCGCCGTTGGAGTCGATGGGGAGAGATGAGTCGATGATCACAAAGTGGAGATGAATGGAAAGGGAAGAATGGGGGAAACGATTAGCCGCTCTCTGTCAGATCCCCTTCAATCCCTGCATGAAGACGATGAGCTGTCGAATAAAAGGAAAATCGAAGTTTTTGAAATGTAAAAATTTGAAAAATTTGAGAAAATGTAAAAAATGTCATTTTTGCTTGGGAACATTCTGCTTATAAAAGTTTAACATTATTGGAATGGAACTATATGGTTTAATCCCAGTTAAACAGGTCATTGATTTTTTGCTGATCAATCATACAAATGACTTGATGTCGCCAATCCATGTAAAATTTATATAAAGTCCTTTGTCAAATTGCTCTTCAGGCCTTAAATATCGAAACGGTTTTCTCGCAATTTTGCAATGTGTCATAAAAAAGGGCTAAAAACTGAAAATTCAGAGAGGGGGACACTATATGCAATGTATAAAATAGCAGGCGCATCCTGCACAGAAAAGTGAAAGTGAAAATATTCAGTTAAATCAATAGGATTAAACTGGCTCAAGAAGGTATAAATAAATGTTTTGCGCAAAAGTTTGCACAATATTTTTGGAGCTGCTCTTAGGTGGTTGTTTTTATTAAATTGCTGATTTTGCTTCTCGATTTTTGCATTCTTCTATTATTTACGGAACACAATGTGCATTTTCAGGGCCATCACATGTTCGTTGATGTCGGGCCTCTCTCTTCCTCGTCAATGACCGCTTGTCGTTTTGCTTGTCGTCTTCGCGTTTCTCTTCATCGATTCGACATAGTGGGTCACTCGGGTATTGGCACGTAAGTGGTTAAGCCTAACTAGGAAGAAGTATGGGTAGATCTTGCGTTGTTTTGTTGCTGTTAGAAGTAGGCTTATGGTTGCCAGAAGTGGAGTTATGCTCGATTCTGCGCTCTTAGAAGTAGCAAAACCGTTTCAGCACTGAAAATATCGACTCTTTTAAGCAGTATCAGCACTATTTAAATTATTCTCATGTTTAGCCACACTACCGCGAATGCACTTGACGATTCCGAAGAGAACACCGATGCCCACAACGGTTGAACGAACGGCAGACAGCCGGAGAGTTTTCGTGTTTTCGGAGAGTGTTTTCGGAGAGTGTTTTCGGAGAGTTTTTTTTCTTTTACACGCGTGACTAATCAACTCATTTAGATTTAGAAATTTAGCATGTGGGCGATCATTCGAATCACCCAACCTGGCAACTGGCCGGCGAAATTTCACAGAGAATGGCCGCTCGCCGCCACCCAACTCGAGGCAATCGTCATTCAGGTGCGAACAAATGTTTCTTATTTTACTTTTGTTTCAGGACTCTTTTGGCAACAACTTGGCTGGCGATCAAATATACAAAAGAAACGGATCTGGTGGGGATACGGCGTTGTCGAAATGATTGCTGGGTTGGCGTTTAAAGTTTCGATCAAAATGTTTTGGCTCTAGGTTCTCGTCGACGATTTTTCATTGTGTCGATTGTTTGGTGACCGAGCGGATCGACGATTTTGTGGGTACTTTTGAGAGATTTGAGGGCAATTGAAAATGCTCCATTAAGCTTGCGCTACACTGTACAACTTTTTGTTTAGTATCTGGATTCGCCGACATCTCTGTTGCCGTCCTCTACACATTACCTGCGTTGACCACGAAAAATATTTTTAAGTTAAGTTTTCGATTAAAAAGCATGTACGCGATTAACTTTTTTTGTTTTGAAAAAACTGCTGTTGCTGTATGTTGCTGTATTTCCCTAGGCTTTGGCTCCGCACCACAAAGGCATATCAGTTTCTAATTGAAAACATGCCTTAGAAATGTTTTGTTCGTGATCAGAGCCATCAATTACCCTAGAAAAACTACATGGGGCAAATTTCAAGTGCTCCCCCAACTACCTTAGTACCTTTTCGTGATGTTTTGCTAGCTTTTCTCGTTATCGTTGTTACGTTGAATAAATGTATAAAATATTGTTCGATGACGAAGTTACTGTTTGAAGCAGTTGTCGATTTCTTGATTGGTTGACTTATTTGTGACTTATTCTAGCTTTATTTGTACCTCAATTTCACTATTTCCGAACATTTCTGGTATCCGTAAAACACCTCTTTATGTCAAAACAAAATCTATTTTTTTTTATTTATAGGTTAGAGTCATGCGGTTCGAAATGAAGAATTTGACGTCATTTCCAATGGAGAAGTTGTGCTTCGATTTGAAGTTGGAAGCGTTGGAACAAATAGAACCAGGGGATGTGCTTGAGTTGGCCAAGGTGAATCAAGGATTCCAAGGGATGCTCGTGAGGGATCCTTCGATCGTTTTTGGAGACCACGTCCATAAGATTGAATTCCATGAGGGGATTTGGATCGGTGAATTTTCGATCTTAGATGAAAGAGAGCCCAATGTCGATCGTCCCTTTTCTCACTTCTCTTTCGTTAAGAAGATCCGATCTTGCGATCGCTTGTCGATCTGGAATTCTCATCGATTCAACCAGAAATATAGATTCCTGAACAATTTGAAGTTGGTGAATCAATTGCTCGCGATTTGTCAATCAAAAGAAGAACTGGAGAGATTCGTCTCAAATTTCCACGCATCGATCAAGAAAGAAGCACATTTGTATATCGGCTACAGTGATTTCGATGATCCAGTGATCAAAGATCGGACCGAGAATTTTATGGTGGGACCTCAACTCAAGGATTGTGAGCAGATTAGTGTTAACTGTCTTACTGAAGATTCAATTCGCTTTTGCTATAACGCCTTGTTGAAGACTGAAATCAAAAACGTTGCTATGCTTTCAGCGCGTGGCGTTGATTGGCTTATTCAACAGATCATCACGAATGGAATCCCGAACAAGAACCCTGAGGCTGCTATTTTGGCTAGTCAGATCTTTGACTTCACGATGGATCTCTCACAATATCCAGGAATGCGAGGAATCGATGGAGAGAATCGTCTTCGACTTCTCAAACTTGCGAACTATATTGTGGGGAATTTTGTAAATTCATATTATGCTTCTGCTTTCTCCATGGAAAAGCTCAGTTTTCCGTCGACATTTAGATTCAACCAAGGACTGCATCTACGTGTACGACGAAACAAAACCTAATAGAGTCTTGGCCTTCCACGCCCCGATCGATTAAAGTGATTAAAATCACTCTTTCATGATTCATTGTATCTTTTAGTCGCTTTTATCATTGTTTCCATTTTTTCAATTGACAGATTATTGGTCTTTTATCTGCTATATTTTGTTGCTTTTCAATTATTCAAATAAAATTTTAAAATCTTTTGTGAGATGAAAAGGAAGCGATTTGGATATTATCTGTACTTTTTAAATGGCTGTGAAAGTGTCATTGTGTTCCGAATTTGTCAAATTTTAAGGAAATCTCTGGTAATCTTTTTCTCAACACTTTTACTCTGTGAAAGCTGTAATTTGCGAATTTTTCCATTTCAAAATCTTTCAAATCTATATTTTACGATAAAAACAAGCATCAAAAATGGAAATTTTGCAAAATTCGAGAAAAATTCGTTAAGGCGACACCGAAAATGAGAGAAATTTGACGAGAAATGACTTTTCGAAAAAATTTTATGAAAAATCCATTCTTTTGAAAATTTCGGAGTTACGTGAGCAACAGAATGAAGGAAAATTGAAAGGTTTTTGGAAATCTTTTAATTGCGTCGAGAAATCAAGCTGAACTCTTCAGCGGCTGCAATTCGACGGTTTTCGCCGTCTCCCCGCCGTACTTTTGCAGTTCCCACACTCGCAACTTGCGCAATGGGATGCAGATGAGACCTGGAGATTGAGTTTCTTGTATTAAAATGCAAATTTTCTTATTTGCTTCCCGTCAAAACTCAGTCAATTCGCATTTTGTGTGATTTTTATCGCTTCGGAGAAACGAAAGATATTTTAATTTCTTGACAAAACGACGTTTTTACAGTATTATTGCACGTTCCATAATTTATAAATCCAGTATAATATTTGAAATCTATATTTCTCAGCCAATAAAGTCATCAAGACGCCCGTAGAACGTAAATGGTTGAGCCTAATTAGGAAAAGGTAGGGGTAGATTTGCGTTGCTTTGTTGCTGTTAGAAGTAGGCTTATAGTTGCCAGAAGTGGAGTTAAGCTCGATTCTGCGCTCTTAGAAGTGGCAAAAACACTTTAGCACTGAAAATATTGGACCCTTTTAAGCAGTATCAGCACTATTTAAAATTATTCTCATGTTTAGCCACACTGCCGCGAATGCACTTCACGATGCCGAAAAGTACACAATGGTCCATAACGATTGAGCGAGCCCGTTTGGAGCAGGCAGCCATGTTTTTGGTGAGTTTTTTTGCCACGCATAACTAATCATCTCATTTAGATGCAAATACGATTGCATGTAGGCCACTAATGCGACCATTCGAATCACCCAACCTGGCAACTTCACAGAGAATGGCCGCTCACCGCGACCCAACTCGGGGCCATCGTCATTCAGGTGCGAACAAGTGCTTCTTATTTTTACTTTTGTTGCAGGAACCAACATCGGCTATCTTCTCTTTTCTCAACTTCGTCACGACGTACATTTGGCAACAACTTGGCTGGCGATCAAATATACAAAAGAAACGAATCTGGTGGGGATACAGTGTTGTCGGAATGATTGCTTGGTTGGCGTTGAAAGTTTCGATCAAAATGTTTTGGCTCTAGGTTCTCGTCGACGATTTTTCATTGTGTCGATTGTTCGGTGACCGAGTGGATCGACTATTTTGTGGGTACTTTTGAGAGATTCTTGAAGGCCATTGAATATGATCAATTAAGCTTGAGCTAAACTGTACAACTTTTTGTTTAGTATGTGATTTCGCCGACATCTGTGTGGCATGAAGTGTACGTCCTCTACACATTACCGTTGACCACGAAAAAACATTTTTAAGTTAAGTTTTCGATTAAAAAACATGTACTGGATTCACTTTCTTTGTTTTGAAGAAATTGCATGTCCCTATATTCCCTAGGCTTTGGCTCCGCACCGCAGAGGCACACAAGTTTCTAATTGAAAGCATGACTTAAAAATGTTTTGTTCGTGATCAGAGCCATCAATTACCCTTGAAAAACTACTATTGAGCAAGTCTCAAGTGCTCCCCCAACTGCCTTAGTACCTTTTCGTTATGTTTTGCTAGCTTTTCTCGTTATCGTTGTTACGTTGAATAAATTTATAAAATACTGTTCGATGATGAAGTTACTGTTTGTAGCAGTTGTCGATTCCTCGATTGGTTGACTTTTTCAAGCTTTAACCTTTGTAGATCCTTTACGGCCTGGCTATCCCAAGCCAATTTCACTATTTCCTAACATTTCCGTTATCGGTAAAGCGCCTCTTTATGTCAAAACAAAGTCTAATCTTTTTATTTATAGGTGGAAGAATGAAAGAAAAAAAAACAAAAAAGAAATTCAAATACGTATCATAAATCAATGGTGTTCATGTACAAGATCTCGTATAAAACTGTTCCTATGTGACTCATAAGTCTACGTAAAATTGATCTTAAACCACAATTTTCGTGTTCTTTTCAATCCCAATTCTGAGAATTATTACTTAATTTTCACCTTTAAAGGGTCAATTTTGCCAAGATCGAGCAGAGAGCAACCAAAAAAAAGTTTCACGAGACATTATTGCACTGAAATTCTTGAAATGACTTTCCTTTTATTTTAAAAGACCAAAGATACCCTTGCACCTGCTAGCTTTCACTATTTCTCTTCCAAAACTTCAATTCCTTTCCAAAACTTGAATTTCTTTCCAAATTCATGCAATAAATGACCGACTACGAATATCCATCGACTTTTCTCATTGTCTCAAGTATTATCGGCCACCTCGGAGCTGTTCTAAACATTTATACACTGATTGTGATACTGATCGCAACGCCGAAAAATATGAAGAGATATAAGTATTATCTTCTAATCATGCAGGTAGTTCTTGATGATTTATGAAGTCACAAATCGATGGTAAACTAGAGCTTAACTAACAACTGGCAAGGCTCTGATCGGCAAGGCTCTGATCGGCAAGGCTCTGATCGGCAAGGCTCTGATCGGCAAGGCTCTGATCGGCAAGGCTCTGATCGGCAAGGCTCTGATCGGCAAGGCTCTGATCGGCAAGGCTCTGATCGGCAAGGCTCTGATCGGCAAGGCTCTGGATCGGCAAGGCTCTGATCGGCAAGGCTCTTATCGACTCCCTCAATGAGGAGTTTTACCATATGATAGTCGAACCCTCTCTATAACGTAACTCACGGGACGGCTATAGCTTACGTTATATAGAGGTTTACGTTATATAGAGTGCCGTTTTATATAGCTTAACGTCGGCCGGGACCGGTCACGCCTTACGTTATAGAGAGGTTTACGTTATATCGAGGTTCGTTATAGAGAGGTTCGACTGTAATTTCGATTAGTTATCAATTAAAAACAGTGATTCAGTTCTTCTCAACAATCTTCGATCTATTGCTTAATTTACTCAAAGTCGAAATCTATCTCCCAGCAATGGCGTGTCGCTTTTATGGAATATTTTATACGATTTTTGGCATGAGTGTCACTTGGGCCATGGTTGGAGTTTGAAAAATTGTCAAAGATTGCATTCAACCCTTCGCTAAAACATAAGCTTGCTTAAGAAACGTAAAAGCCTTCCATTACTATGAGTAAACCAATAAATCGTGTGAGGTCAAGCTTACAAAGCTTTAGTTTCTCGGGTTCATCTCAATTTGGGGAATGGTTGGTGGAACGACGGCTTGTTTCCTCTTTCGACATGAACAAGTCCTTCCACCGGATCATTGGATCAAGTCGAACTACCCTCTTCTGCTAATCTAGTTTCGTTTCAGATTAGGAGTGTCAAAATGGACCTGGATTCTTGTCGCCCATGGTGTGCCGTATGTCGGCGGCGGTTTATATGGGATTTGGTCATTCCCATTCGAGCATCCACCAAATGCGAGCGGGTTGCCGAAGTTGATCGAGGTATAACAGAATTCTTCCAACTAAAAGCCTCAAAATCTCAAAATTTCCACTGTTCATCTATAATAATAATAATAATACTTTATTCAAACGATAAAGTGAAAGAAATCATAGAGAAATGCACAGTGATACTTAATCATACAATACATACTGAAATCAACAAGCCAATTACTTACGGCAAAGAGCCACTAGATCTAAAGCATCGATACGTTTCTTGAATATGAAAAGCGACCGAATTTCTCGTATGTCGTTTGGGAGCAAGTTCCATAATCTAGCGGCTCTAACGGGAAATGAATTTGATAAAGAGGCATTGGAAGCAAAGGGAATTTGCAAAAGGAATGAGCCACTTCTGGGCCCTGACCGCGGTTTAAATTTGAAAAGTCTATAAACAAAGGGCTAATCTGTTTACAACGGAGGATTTTGAAAGTTTCGACTAAATCAATGACAAAGCGACGATGCTGTAAAGTTTTTAGTTCAAAAAAAGCAAGCATATCTAACTAAAAACCTTGTCAAAACATTTAATCAATGTTTCCCTTGTAAAGGAAAATAGTGTGCCCTTGGAAATCTCAAAAATTGGGACTAGTTTTGAATAAAACTGTTCACGAACGCCCATAGTTTTGCATAACAAGTCTAAGAGCAAAATAAAGTCGAAATACAAGCAACAATTTTAGGCGTACCCCCAAAATGCCTATCTCCAATATGAGACTGACACATGGATCGGTGACCCAAACGCTCTTCTAAGTCCACCAATTTTCGATTTAACTTGTGTACAATTATTGTTGTATTCGGCATTATGTCCAAGTGTCGAAATCCCTATTGTGGTTGGTTAATTTACAATAATCCTTCTACTCGAATCCTGATCAATTAACAGAATAGGGTATCAACTAGACTTGACTATTGAGAGCTTATCAATCTCGAGATCTCGAGAAGTTTTCCAAAATCTAATCTTCAAAATCTTTCAAATTCCAGAATTCCAAAATGTCGCAGCCGATTTTGAAATTCAGCCGATTCAGAAACGGCTAGTCGATTTTGAAATAAACTTTCATTTTTCCACCCTTCCTTTTCCTTAATGATTGTCGATATCTACAAAATGACATCAAAAAATCATAAAGATTAAACTATTAGGTTGATGCATAAGTCTTTTCGTTTTTTTCGTACTTCTGTTAAAAAGTAACAAATTCACCAAGTTTTTTTTGGATTTTAAAGAGACTGTAATTCTCATCTTCGTAAAGTATCTAGCCATTAATCTAGCCAACCATTAAGAATACTTTTATCCTGAAATATCTGGATTTGTTAGCTGAATACTTATCTTCAATAGTAGCCCAACTTCTATTCATTGAATTCCCTCTTCCCAGCTCTTCCTATGGCCTCTCCTGAATAGTTACCATTAAGAATACTTTTTATTCTGATATATCTAGATTTGTTAGCTGAATAGTTATCTTCATTTGATCTTCCCCTATCAGATTCAACTTCTATTCATTGGAATTCCCTTTTCCCAGCTCTTCCCATGGCCTCTCCTGAATAGTTAGCATTAAGAATGCTTTTTATTCTATCTAGATTTGTTATCTATTAGGTTGATGCATAAGTCTTTTCGTTTTTTTCGTACTTCTGTTAAAAAGTAACAAATTCACCAATTAATCTATAGTTTGCTCTATAAAAAAAGTGTTTTTTGTTCAATTTGCATCTTTTAAATGAATTTCGGTTCACTTTCAAGCAAATTCGAGAGTGAAAAACGCCTTTTTCATAAAAATCTATAAAAACTCTACGGAAAAAATCGGCTGAATGAATTTCTCTGAAATTTTGGCGAAATATCAAACTTTTTTCTCTATCTTTTTTATCTATTGACACGAAGATAGGTTTTCTTTAGCTAAGGTGTCTAAACCGCATCATCGAGTTAGCCCTTTTGACTACCCGACTTCATACTCTCAAGAAAATCCAGGCATAAAATATTTTTAAACCCGTTTTAATGTTATTTTGCAGAAAAATAATTGACTTTTCTAATGAAATCAACCGTAGTTTAATTGGTGCTTTAATTTTAATTTGTTGGCTTGAAACGGCAGACGAAAAGGAACGAAAAGACTTATGCATCAACCTAATACAAAATGACATCAAAATCATAAAGATTAAACTACTTAAAAAGTTACGGCGAATTGCGCAAAGTAGCCATCCGCATTTTAAACCTATAGATAACAAAATTATGTAAAAACAACGCGAAGATCATTAAGGACAACCAGGAGTAAGAAAAATGGAAGTTTATTTCAAAATCGGTATCTGAAACAGCCAGTGAAAGAATTGATTTCAAAATCGGCTAACCGTTTCTGAAGCGGCTGAATTTCAAAATCGGCTGCGACATATACAGTCATGGACAAAAGTCTTTACCCCGACCGAGGTCAGCTTTTAAAACGCAAAATTTTTCAACTTTTAACAAGTTTTAAAAATTGTTTTCAAAGTATTTTGTAGCATTTTTACTCTAGTTTTTATATCCCAATAACCAAAAGAAACAACGATTTATTTTAGGCAACAAAGAACGACGTTAACAAAAAAAAACCCTCAAAACAGGTGGACAAAAGTCTTTACCCCTTTCAACTTTTTTATTTTCTTGCTGTTGTTTCGTTATTTTTCACATAACAATGCTTTATTATTTTTTAATTCTAGTGATGCCTGGAGCCTATCTGACCACTCCCGACAAAGAAAAGATTATGGAAGCAAGGAAACGAGGCGACAAAGTAAAGGATGTTACGAGCGTATTCAAATGCAGCCCCGAAACAGTGAAAAGCTTTGCAAGAAAGAAAAAACGACTGGAATTCTTCACCGAGCATTCAAAACAGGTCGTTCACCCGTCACAACACCAAGAGAAGACAAGGTTCTAATTTTGGCCCACAAAAAGGATCCAAGTCTTAATGCTTCCGATGGAGTCAGATTAATCAAGCATCAATTTAACAAGGACATCAATCGAAAGACAGTAAGCAGCCGTTTGATTCATGCAGGATTGATGACTAGAAGACCTGCCAAGAAGCCCCTGATGGTCGCCAAACACCGGAAGATTCGACTCGACTTTGCCGAGAAGTATGAAAGTTGGACAAGCAACGACTGGGCCAATGTCATCTTCACCGATGAATCGAAGATCAACCTTTTCAATCCCGACGGCAATCATTTGATCCGGAGACCTGTCGGACAACTATATAGCACCAAATACCTTCGTGCGACAGTCAAATTTGGTGGCGGATCAATCATGTTGTGGGGTAAGAAACTTTTATCTTTATGCCTATTGACTTTTTTTTCAGGAGCGATGACTAGAAGTTCACCAGGTCCACTCGTTCTTCTCAATTCAACTTTGGACGCTCAACGATACAAGGCGATTTTGGAGAACGATCTTCTTCCAACTTGCGACCACAAAAATTGGACAAGGATGGTTGCTGTACCAGGGACAACGCTCCAAGCCACAAGTCGCAACTGCTAATGGGACCAGTTGTTCGCCTTGCCAACGGTGGTAGAGCTCGTCTACCCGGATGGTTCCGATCGAATGGAGTTCAGTTCGTATCTGCTCCTTCTTACAGTCCGGATTTGAACGTTATCGAACATTTGTGGGCGTTTTTGAAGCTGAGATTGAAGGGAAAACGCTTCAATACCAAGATTGAGCTATGGTACTTCATTCGATACATCTGGACAAAGATCGGTCCTCAAATTTTACAGGATTTGGTCGACTCGATGCCGAGAAGGATTCAAGCAATAGTTTCATCAAAAGGAGGCCCTACCAAATATTAAAATACTCGGTTTTTCTCACTTTTTTGTTCGAGGGGCAAAGACCTTTGTCCACCTGTTTTGAGGGTTTTTTTTTGTTAACGTCGTTCTTTGTTGCCTAAAATAAATCGTTGTTTCTTTTGGTTACGGGATATAAAAACTAGAGTAAAAATGCTACAAAATACTTTGAAAACAATTTTTAAAACTTGTTAAAAAGTTGAAAAATTTTGCGTTTTAAAAGCTGACCTCGGTAGGGGTAAAGACTTTTGTCCATGACTGTATATGTCGTAGCCGATTATGAATTTCAGCCGATTATGAATGAGCAGGTCCGGACGCGACCAACCATCAAGTACTTGGTATCATTCAACGCAGGATCATTGATAATTAGGTTAAATTTTTTAAATTGGAAGATTGGATAAAAAGAAAAATTATGGGGCTTCAAAGTTTTCTCTTGAACAAACAGTTTTTGCTCTAATTTTTTTTCTTTTATTAAATCTTGCTAATTTTAAAAATTTAACATAATTATGAATGATTCTACGTTGAATGATACGAAATACTTGATGGTTGGACGCTTTAGACCCACCTCATTCATAATCGGCTACGGGGTCCCGCCGCTTTTGAATGAAACGTTGTAGCGCCGGCAATTTTTAACCTAAACTCACGAATTTGGTACCAATTGACGCAGAATTTAATTCGCTACAAAAATAATATAATATTGTCCTCATACATTAAAGGGCTGCTCTACTAGAAAGATTTTGCCAAAAATTTCATTCATAATCGGCTACGACATATAAAGTCGAACCTCTCTATAACGTAACTCACGGGACGGCTATAGCTTACGTTATATAGAGGTTTACGTTATATAGAGTGCCGTTTTATAATAGCTTAACGTCGGCCGGGACCGGTCACGGCTTACGTTATAGAGAGGTTTACGTTATATCGAGGTTCGTTATAGAGAGATTCGACTGTATATTATTAGCTTGGTAAATATGAAAGGTTATTTTTTTGATCATTTTTAACATAACAGAAAAATTTATTTAAACACTTTCAAAATAAAATGTATTCACCACAAGCATTAATAACTTCTTTCCAACGTTGCCCCAAATCACGAATACCGTCCTCAAAAATGAAGATTTTTAGAGGCAAAATAGTTACAACCCACTTTTCGATGTCCTACTTTTGTTTGAACGGCTGTCCAGAAACTGCTTGTCTCATTGATTGAAAAGATAGTAATCCGGATGGGGCTAGATCATGGCTGTATGGTGGGTGTGGAAGAAGTTTCCAGCTCAACGTATCGATTTGTTCTTGGACGATCTTTGGAAATGTGAGGCACAGCATTGTCGTGAAGAAATTTGACCTTCGATGGATCGATCCTCTTTTTCCTCAATGCTGGATCGACTCGACCCATTTGTTCTGCATAAAGTCTCCCGTCAACAGTGCCTCCTTTATCTAATATTTCAAATGAGCCAATCCCTTAGGATTCCACCACACACAAAGCATAACTTTTTCGGAGGCTTCGAGATAGGGATGAGAGGTCTGCTTTGAACTCAGCCACTGTCCATAGAGTTGAATATTTTCATACAAAAAGCCAAGTCTCATCAGATGTCAAAAATACTTCCAAAAGTCACGATGGCTAGTTTACGTAGAAAGAACAGAGCTCAAGGTGACTCGTGTGACTTAGTGGGCATCAGTGAGGTCGTGGGGGGAGCCATTTACCGCTTCGATATGATTTCCTCGAAAACGTGTAAATGGTGAACATGAAGTACATCCGGAACTTTTCTGCTAATTTGCGATGGATCCAAGTCGACCTCGTTCAGTAACAACTGATCGTCCAAAGTAATCGGCGGCTTTCCATGTGGTGCATCTTCCAATGACTCGTTTCCTGTTTCAAGCCATCATACCAAACACAACATTGTTTGTAAGGGTAAGAGCAGCTTCTCCAAAAATAGTACAAATGTTCTGATGGCATTCCGTAGCTTTCTTTGTTTAACTTGAATTCAAAGAAAATGCCGGCCCTGATTTTAAATTTTTGGTCATCCATCTTTGCCGAGCTGAAAACAATACAAATATTATTCAAAACAAAAATTTTTTGCAAAAAAACATGAGCACATTTTGACATATTATTGAGAAAAGTCCTAGACAGCGAATGTTCTTCGTAACGACAGGGCAATATTTTTTGAAAAAATAACCTTTCATATTTACCAAGCTAATATAACCTGTTTTAGGGTAGTTTATTCTGTTTATCATTCTTTTACATGCTCAAATGGAACTCAACGTTTATGAGCGAAAAAATGAGACAAATGTATAGGAAGCTGATATTGGCGTTCAATTTGTCAGGTTAGCAAAAAAATGATTGTAAGAGATTAGTGCCCCAGACAGGGTGTGTTTCTATTTGGAGCATAAAGTACGTTCGAAGCACATTCGACAGCCCTATACCTTTCAAAATGCAATAGCTTCATTCCACTTCCCAGGCTATAGTCCCCGTAATCACCATTGTAGTCCCATTCTCGATTCTCGCTTTATTGTTGGTGTTAGGCGAAACATTACCACAAGGTAAAGCTCTAAAATGAGATAAATCAATAAAATAAACTTTCTAGAAGTTCTCAACGCCAACAGCATCAACGTCACCTTGCATGGGAAAGTCTGTTCCATTCTCATCATTGCACTCACTCAACCGTATCGAAAATTTTTCCTTGATCAGCTTAAACAAGTGCTAAAGTAGTTTATAGTTAAATTTCAAAGATTAATAATATTTTAGATTTGTTAACTTCTCGAAAAAGATGGAAAACTATCCAAAATCAAAGAAGTTCACATCGAGGAGATAAAAACTTAAAAAAGTTCTCTTAGAAATTGATTTCTGAACAATGATTATTTGTGATTTATTGTGATTTATTGTGATGAGCTTTATTCAAAACTAAGATATCATTATGGCAATGCTTTCGCAAAACTCAGCTGTTGGTAGTCAAAATAAGTATGATAGAATGAGCGAAATGTCAAGATGGATATCCAAGACGCCAAACTGATCCAAAAGTGCTCCCGCCATCGGCGATGATCATCGCGAAGAAGCACCTTAAAAGGGGGCAAATAAGGCAAAAATGCGTTTTCTATCGAATTTTTCCGGGAGTACCCTTTAGATGCGGAAAATTGTGCTGATTCCGAACCTGAAGGAATTTTTCAACCCCCTTGACAGAAATTTTAAAAATTTAGTTTTAGCGGTTTTTTGGTCATTTTGTATGGGAAATTTTGTGGTACCCTGCAGTTTGGGGCTCGTAGCTCGACAATCAGTGTCTAGGAACAAAAGAACGAGGGGATAATTTTTATTCTAGAGACTCTTACGAATATTTTGATGCAAAAACCATCAAATTTGCTCAACTCCTACAAAAAGTTATAACATCTTTAAAGAAATTTTGCAAAATACAGGGTGTCCCAGAATTGTAGGTAACCTGTAAGGAGCGGGACTAGAAAGCCAAAATTGACCAAGAACGAAAAGTAAACGAACTAATTTATTCCTTTAACACTATTCAACAGAATAATTCAATTTTTTTCAAAGTGAGATCCCTTAGCGTCGATGCAAGCCTGTAAACGTTTCTGGAAAAGCGTCGACGGGTGGCGAGAAGGTATTGTGGATCGGATCGCCTCTCACGCTTTTTGAAGCGTTCAACGATTTCACTGTTTTATGATTTTGCACAAGCCTGGGACTCTGGAAAACACTCCATACAGAGAAAATCCATTGGATTGAGATCCGGGGACGTTGAAGGTGGACATTGGTTGAAACCTGATGAAGTCTGGGAAGGTTAGCATACCAATCCTGAACCAATTTTGCTTTATGCGCCGGCGCCCCGTCTTGTTGGGAAGCACCAAATCCTGTTCCCAAAGTGTTTTTCTCAAGATTCGGACCCATCGAGCTTTTTTGGAGACTTTCAGTTGTGAGGCCATTTTTCTTACTGAACGGAACCGATTCAAATGGACACGGTCGCGCACCTTCTCTGATGATGGCTTTGTTGAAAACAGATCGCTTGTTAGCCATCGTCCTTTCCGATCGAAATTGGTGCCCAGTTCCTTGAATCTCGCGTAATCGTCGTCGAAACCAGCTTCTTCGAGACTTCAATCGCTTTGAAATATCAATCAGTTTCGGGTCCCGCCTGTGTGAAGTTGAATGATCGAGTTACGATGAGCAGAAGGCTTTGTCATTCTAAAATAAAAATCAGATTTTGAGTAAACATTAACAAAACATTCAAAAAAGAGAATAAACCAAAAAAAAAGCTAAATCACAGGCAACTCAAAACTCAAAAACGGGCAAAGCAGCGGGGCAGAGCCGGTTACCGTAATTCTGGGACACCCTGTACACTAAAAACATAAGGGGAAACTGTGGCCGAGTGTTCGAAGGCGCGCGACTGGAATCCCGGCGCAAAAGTATGGGGTTGTTGGTTCGGCTCTTCCGCGCACTTGAGCTATTATTTTGCATATTCCTTAATTGTTTTGAGTGAATACGATACATAGCTGCTACTGTTCTTCTAACAAAACAATTCAGTAATAGAGAATTTTAAATTTTCTTATTTCTTTTTAAAAAATTTTATAACTTTTGTAGGGTTGAGCAAATTTGATGGTTTTTGCATCAAAATGTTCGTAAGAGTCTCTAGAATAAAAATTATCCCTTCGTTTTTGGTTCTAGACCCTCGTTGTCGAGTTACGAGCCCCAAACTGCAGGGTACCACAAAATTTCCCATACAAAATGACCAAAAAACCGCTAAAACTAAATTTAAAAAATTTCTGTCAAGGGGATTTGAAAAATTCCTTCAGATTCGGAATCAGCACAATTTTCCGCATCTAAAAAGGTACTCCCAGAAAAATTCGATAGAAAACGCATTTTCGCGCCGATGTGGGGGTATTAATCGCGGCCGGGTGACGATAAAATTTTTTTTTACGGCAACCACTTGTTTTTCTTATTTTAATATCGCTGATTTTATTATAAAGAATAAAAATCACCCGGCTAGAGTGATTTGATGGGTTTACAAATTTTTGGAGACGCTGCAAGACTCGCGTGGTTCATCTACAAGGCAAGTGCGAAAGTAAAGCAAAAGTCAGACATTATGTTTTCTTGGGGGTAGTCAAAACAGTGCCATAATAGAAAACGTTCAAAACAGCTGTCAAATTTCTCAAAATCAGAAAACTAAGCCAGTTCAAGTTTTATATCAAAAATTCCTGCTTCTTGGTTAGCATGATGGGTGAAATAGTTTTCTAAAAGTTAAGGGGGAATAGATAAAAAGAGCACTCAAAATGTGTGTCGAGTGATACTCAGCTGGTTAACTGAATATCTGGGGAGATCCATTTTGAGTGCTCTTTTATCTATGAAATATTAACTTTTTTTTAAAACTGTTTTTACCCATCATGTAGCTAAGAACGCAAGGAATTTTTGATATAAAACTTGAACTGGCTTGGTTTTTTGGATTTTGAGAAATTTGACGTGGTTGTTTTGAACGTTTTCTATTATGGCGCTGTTTTGACTACCCCCGTTTTCTTGTTGTTTTCTTTAGACTTTCGATCTACACTTTTGATTTTTAACATCTCTAGATGCCTTTTCCAGATGAAGATTTTATGTTTAGATAATGCAAAAGGCGATCAAAACACCCTAAGCTATCTACTAGAGTGTGTTCCTCTCGAGTAATGCGTTTTCTAAAAGGCACCTATTTGAGAGAACGGGAGGTAGTCAAATGAGCGCCAACAATTGGGCGCCAATCATTTCAGCGCCAACGATTTGGCGCACGCTTATTTCAGCGCCACTCATTTGAGCGCCGTGCCAAAATGACTGGAAAACAATCATTTGAGCGCCAAATTAAAAAGGCCTAAAAACGTTCATTTAAGCGCCGGGCCAAAAATGACTGGAAAACGTTCATTTCAGCGCGGCTAGATTTTAATATTTTTGCTTTCTACGCTGCTTTTGCATGTTTTTTAGGGTTTTGCTTCTGTTTTTACACTTTTTTCACTCATTTGACCTAGGGCACGGCAGTGGGCACCAAATGCGCGGAAAAAAAAATTGTTAGATTAGGTCGTATTTAAGGTTTTTTTGATGAAAATGTGTAAATTTGCTAGTTGTATGTTATTTTCCCCCAATAGCATGCTTTTTCACTCTTTCTTTTCCGTTTTCGTTTACAATATTTGCTTACAGTTAACATAGTTCTTTGCTTAGGCTCGTGAACGGCGCAAGAAGTGGCAAGACAAAGGAAAATGCAAAAATAACATACATATACAGAATGGGCTGATTCGGCGCTGAAATCAATGTTTTCCAGTCATTTTTGGTGCGGCGCTGAAATGAACGCGCGCTGAAATGATTGGCGCTGAAATGATTGGCGCTCAATTTTTGGCGCTCAATTTTTGGCGCTCATTTGACTACCTCCCGAGAAAACTAAAACCACAATCGACCACAAATGGAAAAAAAAGATCTAATTGTGTCAATCAAAGCGCTGAAGACGTCCTAGGGTGGAGGAGATCCAGTCACTTCTGGTGAAAATGGACGGGAAATTGATAAGATAGGAAGCCGATTTGAGGAACTGCTGTACTTGAGCGAAGATGAAAGTGAGCAAGAGGAAGAATTATAGATTGACAACTTATTTTTATTGTTTTTTGTGCTTTTTATTTTGTTTTTAAATTTATCTGCAATTAAAACTCAATCGATCTAGACTGTGCTGAGGTGTCTGATGAGTGACGATCTTGTTTTTCTCCAAGTCTTGCAGCGTCTCCTCTCGATCTCGAGCTAAAAGATGTGTCGAAGTTGATGATTAACGTTGATTATAAGTTGATTAACGAGAGATTCTATTTGTTTTGTTCAAAGGATCAATCATTCAATCATTTTCGGTTTGATCAATCAATCAATCAATCGCTGTGGTTGCCCTGGGACAGTCCTTCAAACTGAAAAAATTGGATCAATGTTTCGTGTTTCGACAGCACGTTCACGCGATGAGTTTCCTAGAGGTTCTGGTCCTGGTCTTGGTTCTGGTTCTGGTTCTGGTTCTGGTCCTCGTCTTGGTCTTGGTCTTGGTCCTGGTCTTGGTCCTGGTTCTGGTTCTGGTTCTGGTCCTGGTCTTGGTCCTGGTTCTGGTTCTGGTTCTGGTCCTGGTTCTGGTTCTGGTCCTGGTCTTAGTCCTGGTTTTGGTTCTGCTTCTGGTTCTGGTTCTGGTTCTGGTTCTGGTCCTCGTCTTGGTCTTGGTCTTGGTCTTGGTCCTGATTCTGGTTCTGGTTCTGGTCCTGGTTCTGGTTCTGGTCCTGGTTCTGGTTCTGGTCCTGGTCTTGGTTCTGGTTCTGGTTCTGGTTCTGGTCCTCGTCTTGGTCTTGGTCTTGGTCCTGGTCTTGGTCCTGGTTCTGGTTCTGGTTCTGGTCCTGGTCTTGGTCCTGGTTCTGGTTCTGGTTCT